GCCCTCGCCCGTCCGCCCGCCGCCGGGGACCCCGGGAGGGGAGGGAGGGGGCGGCCGCCAGGTGGACCCCGTAGGGAGCTTGCATCTGGCCCCTCCCGGTTTCTGCCCCTAGAGCCCAGGTTGGGTACAGACCATAGAGAACATTCTATGCACAAGACCCTGTGGCTACCAGGAGCGGATTCTCGCCCCCCGGGGGGACCCAGGCGCCTGGGTTCCCGGCGGTTAAGGTCTGCTGAGGCGGCCAGGGCGACCTGTCATAATTCTCCCCGATCACAATAGGCCGGGAGGACTGGTGGGACTCAGGGTTAGGGACCCGGCGTCGCTGGAAGGGCGAGGGAGTGGTGGGAGGGCCACCATCGAGCAGAGCAAGAGTGCTTCATAAATATTTAATAACAATATTATTATTAATAAATCGTCACAATAAGGGGCCCAATATGTGTTCCCTGGGCATTCTCACCTGGCAAGTCCAAGGGAGCCTCAAGATGCCTAGTAAAGCTCCACTTTAGCATTGAGATCCCTCACTCAGCTGTGATTGGAAGCTTAAAACCTGCACAGAATAGCCTCAGCTGCTGGGCAGGGGATCTCAGATGCGGTCAGGAAGCCTTCCTGGGCTAATGAAAGAAGTTCTTTGCAGAGATTTTAGCTTCATTTGCTGTTTCTGAGCCCTTGTTCCAAAAGTAGAGGCTAGTCTTCGATTGTTCATAGATATTTATCTCTCCTCCCCTTGTCTTGGTAGCCTAAGGCAGCCAACATTGACAAGCAGGGCCTTCTGAGGAATAATTCCATATAGTGTTCCATTTTGGTTGAAGTACTGGTGCTCAGGGTGATATTTCTGTGACCTCGTTGGTACTTCTTTGCGTATCTGCAGTAGAACTTCATTCATTTGTTCACTGCTCCAACAAAAATACCTAGTATGTACCACACTCTGAACAATACAGATAGAACTTTCTCTGTCATGGAGTTTTCGTTTCAGTTTGGGGGACAGGCAGGTCTTCTCCTTCGTATTGATCCTCACCCAAGGATATTTTTCCATTGCTTTTCAGAGAAAGTGGAAGGGGGGAGAGAGAGGGGAACATGGATGTGATAGAGACACATGGATTGGTTGCCTCCCTCACATGCCCTGACTGGGGCCTGGGATTGAGCCCGCAACCGAGGTACATGCCCTTGGCCAGAATTGAACTGGGACCCTTCAGTCCGCAGGCTGACACTCTAACCACTGAGCCAAACCTGCTAGCGCTGGACAGGCAGATCTTAAACAAGATAATATCATGTGATGTGTGTGTGAGACGGGCCTGTTTCTTCTCTTGGAGGTACTACTTGGCAATTAAGAAAAAGTGAGAGAAAAAATTTGCTTCTCTAAGGGTTCTCTGCATTATTAGGGAACACAGGATTAGATCATAGCCTCCTCCCCAAGAAACTCATGACAGTAATCTTTTACATTTTTTATAACACTTTACGATTAAAATATTTTATATGCATGCTTTACTTCAATTAAAAATATAGCAGTAGCCTGGCCGTCATGGCTTAGCAGTTGAGTGTCAACCTATGATCCAGGAGATGGAGGTTCGATTCCAGGTCAGGGCACATGCCAAGGTTGCTTGCTTGATCCCCAGTAGGAGGCGTGCAGGAGATGGCCAATCAATGACTCTCTCATCATTGATGTTTCTATCTATCTCCCTCTCCCTTCCTCTTGCTGAAATTAATAAAGATATATTTTAAAAATAATAATAGCAATAACAATTACATATTGTTTGCTGTGTGTCGGGCCCTGTTCTAAGGGCCTTACATAAATGTTATCAATTTAATCCTCACAATAATCCATGAGATGGGTATTGTAATTTAGCTCCATTTTACAGATAAGGAAACTGAGGCTTAGAGGGGGTTATCTGAGGCAGAAGCAGTACTCAACTTGGGTCTTCTGCCTTTAAACCCCAAACTCTTTCTGTGTCAAAATGAGGGTCAGTGAGGCCACAAAGGGAATGGTACCCAGGACCAATGTATGTAAATTTTTCTGAGCACTTATGTTCTGGGCATTGATCTAAATTTTTAACATGCATTAATTTATTCAATCCTCATAATAACCCTCTGAAGTAGGTGCTATTACTCTCATTTTTTTCTCCTCATTTAAAAAAAATTTTTTAATTGATTTTTAGAGGGAAAGGAAGGGAGAAAGGGAGAAACATCGATGTGGAAGGGGAACATCGATCAGCTGCCTCCTGCACGCCCCCTATTGAGGTTAAGCTCCGAAACCTGGGCATGTGCCCTGACTGAGAATCAAACCCCAACCTTTTGGTACATGAGATGATGCCCAACCAACTGAGCCACACTCGCCAAAGCTACTAATCTCATTTTTACAGATGAAGAAACCAAGGCACTTAAATCATCTGTCCCAATTCCCACAGCTAGTAAATATCAAAGCTGAGCGGATCCTTACTGTAATACTATGTGTAAAGGGCCTGGGTCCCAATTAATGATGATTCTTTTTCAGTAGGTGGGAGGGGAAATCTGTGTCCTGGGGCCAGAAATGGAGAAGGGTAGGAGGACATACAGAAAGCCCATCAGGCAGTGACACCTTGAAAGAGGTAGCAGCCTGCCTGGAGTCTGAAGATTTAAGAGCAGGGCAAGTAATACTTGTGTGCAGAAGGGCATGTGGTGTTTCTTCACACTAGGTCCTAAAGCTGTGTGGACCAGGATCATTATGATAAGAAGTGGGGGGTTTCTGGGCTTATTAGAAGGGAGAGCCAACAGGATTTGCTGAAGGAGTAGACATGAGAGAAGAGAGAAGGCAAAGATGATGGCAAGGTTTTTGGCCTGAGCATCTGGAATGATAAAGCTGCATGCAGGTGGAACAGATTTGGGATGGAAATCAGGAGTTTGGTTTTAAACTTGTTGAGTATGAGATGATATGAGCAATCAGTAGGCCGTTGGATGTGTGAGTCTAAAGTTCCCAGGTGAGGTCCAAACAAGATTTAGATTTGGTGATTGTCAGACTGGGGAGGAGGGAAAGAGTGGATTGTCTGCCCTGTTCAGCTCAGCTCCAGCTACCAGTCTATACCTATTCTCCTGCTTCCTGGTCTTGTGGTCTACTTGAATGGCAACTCTGCAGAAGGTAAGTGGGTGCACAATTTAAATATAAAAGTGATGTAGAGCTGAAGATGCTGATGTCTACAAACAGCCTAGCCTGTGAGAATTATATCAAAAATGTGAAAGGTTCCTCAGGTGGGCGTGGCTCAGTGATTGAGGGTTGACCTAGGATCCAGGAGATCGAGGTTCAATCCCCAGTCGGGGCACATGCCCGGGTTGCGGGCTTGGTCCCCAGTCGGGGGCGTGCAAGAGGCAGCCGATCAATGACTCTCTCATCATTGATGTTTCTATCTCTCTCTCCCGTCCTCTTTCTGAAATCAATAAAAATATATAATAAATAAATAAATGTCAGTTGAGAAAAGATTAAAAAAAATGTAAAAGGTAATTTCCCTTAAAAAAAAAAAAGTGACTTTATACCAATTGAATACCAGTAAAACTAATTTCAGCTCAAGCAGCTGAAACGACTGGGTAGTGAGAAGGTGTTTTACACCTTGAAAACCTCAACCACATTAAGTGTTAAGGGAGTGAGTAAAACCACAGAAATGAGTCTGAATTAAGTTCTGTTTTCCTCTACTTGGCACAAGACTCTTCACACATAAAATTTCATGTCTGAAACACATGCCACTCTAGAACAGGGGCAAAGGGACCGCACAAACTTCATTGGGTATCCTGTCTGTGCATCCGCTACCACTCGTATCCATCTACCCTGACACCAAAACATACAGTATTGTAGTTATCTTTTTATTGCCCTGACTCCCATATTAGACTGTAGACTTCTTCTTTTTTATTTTAAGATTTTTTGTTTTGTTGTTGTTTTTGTTTGTTTTTTAGAGAGAAGGGAGAGTGAGAGAGAAACATTGATGTGAGAGCAAAACATCGATTGGCCGCCTCCCACACGCCCCCTACCAGGAATCGAACCCACAACCTTTTGATGCACAGGAGAGCGCCAGCCAGCTGAGCCACACCCAGCCAGGGCTTCTTCCTTTCTTTTTTAAATAAGAGAAAGTTTATTTAGAAAGTTACAGAGGTAGAAGTGAGTTGTAGAAGGAATGGGCTTAGGAGGCAAGTTACAGAGTCAAAAGAAGGACCCTTGGAGCTTAAGAGAGAGTAAGGTAATGTGTCTGGAACATGTCTGGAGGAAAAGAGCGAGGGGAAAGGCCCAGGTGTGCTCTGGGGAGGGAGAGCCACTAGACTGTAGGCTTCTTGACAGAGCTGGGGAATGTGTTTTTCCCCTATTGTGTCCCCAACACCCAGCACATCGTAGCCACTAAAATATTTGTTCAATTACTGAAGGATAAAGCTTTTCAGGACTTTTTCTAATATGAGCTCAGGCTATTTTAGGGGGTTCTGATTTGCTTGGGATTTCCCAGTGCTCCTTTGGGTATCTTGGAATGTTGTCCTAAGCCAAAAGCAGTTCCTAAAGGACAGATAAGTAGAACCAGGTCCTCTAACTCATCTCAGTCCTCTCCACTGAAAGTCCTGCATAGTCCTTGACCTTGTGAGTTTTAGGTGGTAGGCAAATGCCTCAGTATCATGCAGTTTGTTCTCCCCTCCCCGAGGTTGCCTGCGTTTTTAGATCTTAGCACAAGGAAGCCAGGGATAAGTGAGCCATCTGTTAGCCAAGCCAGGTGCCCTGCAAGGTTTGCTTCGGGTGTTTTTCAAACTCAAATCACTGGAGAAAGAAGGCAAAGGAGGGGGCTCTGGGTGGACTCTAGCTAACCCTCCCAGCTTTAACCAGAATTGTCCAAATTATTTTTTAGTCATTATTTGAATTTTTAAAATATTTCTTTAAATGTTTTTTCTTTTGACACATTTATTCAAAATACTAAATTTTCATTTTAGAGCTTGGTTTATATAACAGAGTGCCCTAAATTGATCATCAGGATACCTTTCTCTAAACCAGAGATTTTCAAACGGTATGCTACAAGAATTTTTAAAACACGTACTACCTGACTGTTTAGTCAAGGGCACTGACCTCTTTTTTCTGAGATTGTCAAATAAATAACAACATCCAACACAACAGCTGTCTAATGTGAAAGGATCAAAATTATACTTTTTTTTTGTCAGATGGGCAAAAAATATAATGTATTTTTTGTGTGGCGTAGAATTTTAGTAATTAGTTTATGTGATTTAAACACCTATAAATTTTTCTTCGTTTCTGTTATAGTGTAACAATTGATCAACCCTAGTGGCCTGAGTGAAGCTGAGTTTCCTGTCCTCCTCAGACCTAGCTACAACTTCTCCCCTTCTTTATCAGCAACCATAACTGAGACAGGTCATTCTCTGATCTATCCATTTTGACTATTGTAGATTTAGCCTCTGAAGAAGGTCTTTCTCCCGAATCTGCTTCACCAATTTTGTTTTTTCTTTATTTAATTCTTGTTTTTATTCTTTTTCTTTTTTTTTCTTCTTCTTCTTCTTATTTTTTCTTTTTCTTCATTTTTTTTTTTTTTTTAATTCTTGTTTTTAAACATTCTGATTCACAAAAATCATTTGGAGATGACTGCATGACCCAGTATCAAGTGATTGAGATTCACATGCATTGATGAAAATGTTCCAGAACTAAATAGTGATAATGGCTGCACAACATTGTGAATGTGTTAACATCTACTGAGTTGTACATTTTATTTTTTAATTTTTTAAAAATATATCTGCGTGGCTCAGTGGTTGAGCATCGACTTAGGATCCAGGAGATCGGGGTTCGATTCCCGGTCAGGGCACATGCCCTGGTTGCGGGCTAGGCAGCCGATCAACGACTCTCTCATCATTGATGTTTCTATCTCTCTCTCTCCCCCCCTCCTTTCCTCTCTCTGAAATCAATAAAGATACGTTTAAAAATATATATATATACACACACACACGTATATATATATATCTTTATTGATTTCAGGAAGAGGGAGGGAGAGGGCGAGAGAGAGATAGAAACATCAATGCTGAGAGAGTCATTGATCAGCTGCTTGCTGCACACCCCCTACTGGGGATCCAGCCTGCAACCCTGGGCCAAGAATCGAACCTCGATCTCCTGGGTCCTAGGTCGATCGATGCTCAACCACTGAGCCAGGCCCAGCTGGGCTGAGTTGTACATTTTAAAATGATGAATTTTATGTTATGTGGATTTTGTGTCACTCAATAAAAACACTCAAGTAAAACAAACAAATGATTCAGGGATGAAAGAGGAAGAAGGGAAAGATGAAGGATCCAGAACCCTTCTCTGAGCTTAGTTTCCTCATCTATATGGTGATAATAATTCCCCCAGCCCCCAGCTGGCACAAGTAATACATGAATTAGTTACATAAAATGCTTTGCACAGTAGGCACTCAAAATAAATGTTAATTGCCACCTTTTCTATATAAGTGTCCAAACCTATTTGTCCCCTTTATTACCTTTATTTCTTATGACTGTATGGTGTGTGGCTTCAGCCAGAAAACTTATTCTTACAAGGGCTTCTCCCACTCCTCACTGCATTTGGCAGGCTGTTCTACCATCTGGGATGTTGTCCTGCCTCCAGTGTGAAAGGCTAGTATGGTCCTTGGGCCACTGCCACAAGATTACCTGAAAGCTGATTCTGTGGGGCCCACCTGCTGGATCATAGTCTGGGGATTGTTCTGGGTGAATCTGGGAGTCTGTGTTTTTTAATAAGTGTTCCAGTGATGATCATGCATATTACAGTTTGAGACTAATGTGATTTTTTTTGTTTGTTTTTGTTTTAAATATGTTTTTATTAATTTTTTAGAGAGAGAGGAAGGGAGAGGGAGAGACAGAAACATCAGTTGGCTGCCCCCTGCATGCCCCTTACTGAGGATTGAGCCCACAATCTGGGCATGTGCCCTGACCAGGAATCTAACTGGTGACCTCTTGGTGCATGGGACATTGATGCTCAATCTACTGAGCCACACCGGCAGGTCGAGACTAATGTTTTTTTGGTTTGTTTTTGAGGGTTTTCAAAATATGTCTTTATTGATTTCAGAGAGAGGAAAGGAGAGGGAGAGAGGGAGATAGAAACATCAATGATGAGAGAGTCATTGATCGGCTGCAGCCCGCAACCCGGGCATGTGCCCTGACTGGGAATCGAACCCTGATTGCCTGGATCCTAGGTCGACGCTCAACCACTGAGCCACGCCCGGCTGGGCGACTAATGTTTTAATTTATTCCTATTTTTACCATCTCTTCCAGGAAGTCTGCTCAGACTCCTTCCCTGAGAAGTACTCTGACACCCAGAGTGCTCCTTATCCAGGTCTGAGGTTCTGAGTGTCTGGATCAGAGTTACCTTGGGTTCCGCTGAGTCTTCTCTCTCCCAATGGATGGGAGAGTACCCAGGGACAATGCCTGGCCTCCTCTTGTCACCCTGGTTCTTCC